CCTCCATCTTGACCCTCCTTCCTACTTCCTCTTTCCTCCTTGTCTCCTAGTCCCTCCTATCTTCCTTTCCTATTGGCCAACAGTGTTTTATTCATATGAGAAACATATACAGAATGACATCTCCCATCACGTCCTGATAGGTTATCCAACCCCAAGTGGTCAGGCCTAAGCATGTACACACACAAGCAATATGAAATGGACTCAGCAGACTGTAGTCATGTATAAACATATGTGCATGTGTACAACAAGAATTAAAGAAGAGTTTGTTATTTTGCAGGGAGTGCTGAATCCAGAGGATTTCGAGTTGCAAATAAAGTACTCGAATATAAAATTCGGAAAGAAATTTAAATATAAATTTAAAAAAAATAAGTGTTTGGGGTCTCTCCTGTTGCTGGATGTCAGGTGTTGGAGGTGATGGAAGTATCCTAGTTTGCTTTCTGGTGCTGTGGTAAACACACCATGGCCTAAAGGAATTTGAGGAGGAAAGGACTTATTTCACCTGACCCTCCCAGGTCACAGTCCACCTTTGAGGGAAGTCAGGAAGGCATGCAGGGAAAGAAACAGGATGCAGGAACTATTGAGAAATGTTGCTGACTGGCCTGCTCACTCCTGCATGCTCAGTCCCATTTCTTGTACAGACCAAGTCCACACTTGCTAAGGATGGTACTGCCCACAGTGGGCTGGGCCCTGCCATGTCAATCACCAGCCAAGAGACTTTGTCAAAGGCTGGTCTGATCTTGGCCATCCCCCAATGGAGACTGTCTCGGATAACTCTGGACTGTGTCAAGCTGACAGCTGGAGCTAACTAGAACACAAGGGGATCCAAACTGTTGAGGTTAAAATGTGTCAGGAACATGGGAACTGTAATGAGAGTAGGTAAAGTTAAGACAGTTAAGATGGCTTAATGATTAAAAGTACTTGGTGCTCTTGGAGAGGACAGAGCTCAGATTCCAGCAGTCAGGTTTATAGCTGCAGGTTTATGACCTCCTGTAACTCCAGCTCCAGGGGATGGATGCTCTCTTCTGATCTCCTGAGGCACTCTTGTATACATACCTACCTACAGAGAGAGACACAGAGACACATAATTTAAAGATAAAAAAATAAATCTTTTAAAAATACCCAGACATCAGTTTAACCCACAAGGTCCAAAATTAAAAACATTTATTGAGATTATAATTGATATAACCCATTCTTTCTAACAAGATGCTGAGATCCTCCTTTAAACTTCACAACCATGGGATGGTGGTGTTTGGGTTGTCTCAGTCTGATTGCCAGTCCTGAGAGAGAGAGAGAGAGAGAGAGAGAGAGAGAGAGAGAGAGAGAGAGAGATGCCTTTAATCTTCAAAAGGAGCCACAATAAGCAAAGGAACTAAAATCTGAGGGAAAAAAAGAATATACTTACATGATCTTTCTATCCATGTCTCTTTATTATTTTCCTATCTCACAACAAATTGTTTCCTTTTTATATATCCTTACAACCAGCAATTTCCCAGCGCTAGCAGGGTCCTGGACTGGAACTCTTTTGCACCATAAAAGGCATATAAGAATTTTTACATAGGGGAATTCCTGGTTGTCAGCTCAAAGGTGGGAGTGGCTAGTGAATGCCCTGTGAACTCCTTAAGGGAGAAAAGGTTAGTTAAGAGGTTAAATTATGAGAGCTCTAGGAGAGTAGTGTGCTAAAAAGCTAAAAGTTTGTATTCAGTAAAAATCATGAGTAAGGCAAAGATTGTCTTTTACTCAGCACACCGCTTTTCTCCCAGCATGCACAGAGAGTATAGAGTAACCGCACAGGGTAGTAAACAACAGAGGAATTCAGGCAAGCTGGCTGTCTGCACTTTTGCTATGGTTTCCTGCTAAGAGAAGCTTTGAGGATCAATTTCTTAGGGCTGTAAGTCGGAGAATGGATCTAAGTTTTAGAAGAAGCAGGAGCTGGTACCTTCCAGTGCTCTGGCCTCAGTGGCAGCACAAGCCTTCAGGAGAGTTTACTTTTTCCTGAGGAAGAGCAAATGGGCTGATTACCTTTGTCCTTGTCTTCTTCTTGGGGGAAACAGGAGGGAGCAGTGAATATCTGAGCTAAGATTAGAATGACGGTAAGTGCAAGAAATAGTTCAGGTTATTCTTCATCCGCCAGTGAGGTAAAACCAGGGCATGCTTGTTTTTCTATCTATCTGGGCACCCGGGAATCAATAGCTTTGGACGTGTAGTAATTCTATGTCCTCGGATATCTGGTAATGTCTTAGATGGGATGCTTTTGCCTGGCCCCTAAACACCTGCCTGACCAAATACCTGTCAATAGGGATAATTTCAGGAAGACAGATCTCTGCAATGACACAGGAGAGGTGAACAGAGACCTGATAGTGGGAAACAGGCTCACGCGTAGCTAAGACCTGGTCATGGAAAGCAGGTTTCTCACATAGCTAATGAGTGTAATCAGTAAACTCCAAATGCATGGGAGGAATTGTTTCCAGTAAACGATCAGATAGTGCTAAACTGTGGGAAGTGAATCCCAAGTTTGTTGCAGAAAGGAATAAGCTACAGGGAAGAATCTACAGCAAAAAACAGCCAATTCATTCACAAGATTATAGTCCAATACACCTTACGTCCTTATTTAATCCACCAGGAAGAATTGTTAATTCTTCTGGGTTGATCTTGTGAAATGAGGCTGATTAATTACTGTGTGATCTTGCCACTTGTAGTAATTTATGAGCACAGATAACAAATAGTTGCATACATAAACTAACTGCACACTGAAATCCCATGGGTACATTTAACCATCGAGAAAGGCAAAATAGGTCCGGACAGAGAATCTGGCAGGCAGTACAGGTGCTTGGTGAGAGTTTTCCTGTAAAGGAAAGGTGAGGCTGGAAGCTAATTTGCTCAGTTTATCATCTTTTATCTTTTTGGGACCTTTGGTTGAAAGCTGCTTTCTTTGCAGCTGGGCGGCGTTAAGGGGACCAGAGCTTTGAGCCAGTCTTCAGGCGTGGCTCCCGGAGTGGGAAGGGAAATGAAAACACGTGTGGCTGGAGGCTCTTTGGCAGACTAGAGAAGCAGTTTGTAATTCTGTGATCATAGATTAGGTTAAAACAACAACAACAACAACACAAAAAACAAAAACCCAACTCCGGATGAAACAGGAGTGGAGGTTACTACCTTAAGAAATGGTGTTACAAATCAGCCAACAAGTTCAGGCAGACTTGACACTTCAGAAGGGCTGGGATTGCATTGATCTAGTCTGTTGAGAAGGAACTGTAGGTGGAAGCATGGTGGGGTTGTCGAGCAGGAGAAGCAATGGCTGGTTCCCATGGTTTGCAGGCCTAGAGGCAGGGATGGGCTGGGTGCCCATATGAAGGGTAAGGGCTAAGCAGGCAGTGTTAACGCCTCCCCACCTCCCCACAGTTAGATGGGGAAAGCAGGGAGAGGGGGAGAGTTTTCCAGCACCCATGAGTCACCACGAGTATCAGGACAGAGGAAATGCCGTACACAGAGATGCTGGATGTTGCCATCCTGGAGCAGAGAGAGCTGTGGGGAGGGCGTGTGGCTAGGAAGGCATTAGCTCACTCAGGGGGAGCTGAACTCTCCAGCTAGACAGAAAAAGCCTCTAGCAGAGGCGGAGCTGAAAATCCCTTGGCCCAGGTTCCTAAGAAGTTCCAAGTGCCCAGAGCCCATTTGCGCAGGCGCAGTGCCCTTGGCATCCGGTAATGAGGTCAGCCCGGTGGCAACAACCCAGAGCTGTCTCTGCTGCCCCGAGGTGCTCAGGCTGAGAGTCCTGCCTCCTCCCTCTGATCCCTGACTTGGGTTGACCCCTGGCCTTTAGGCTACCCCCTTCTGCTCGGCACCAGGGGCCCAGATCCTATTCTCCCTCTCTCTGCTGGGTCCCAGGAGGGGGACGCTGGAGGAGTCGGGCACATTCACCTAACTGAGACCCTGCTGCCACAGAAATATTCACAATTATCGTTTAATAGTGTTGTGGTAAAGACTATATCAATATCTCGCCCGGTAGTAGCGGAGTACTTTTATAATCCTCGCACTTGGGAGGCAGAGACAGGCTGATTTCCAGATCCAAAGCCAGCCTGGTCTACAAAGTAAGTTCCAGGACAGACATGGCTACTCAGAGAAACCTTGTCTAGAAAAACAAAACTATATGTGTGTGTGTGTGTGTGTGTCTTTTTAGCATCGAGACATAGATTTAAAAGGGTTTATTTTCCTTATTTCTATTTTAAAACAAATTCAGACATTTTTCAGGATCCCTAACGTAACTGCGGGTGCCTAGCCACTGCCCCAAAGAGACATGGACCTGGCAGCTCCTGCTGTCACCAGGGCTGTGTGCAAGCTCCCAGCTTTCAGCTTCCCTAGTTCATTCTCTCTTCCCATGCCTGCAGCCCAAGGCTCATCCTAAAACCGATGCCCGGCACAAATGCAACAAACCAGCGCATCCCGGAACACGCTACAGCGGGGTGCTGGCTTCAACACTAAGTGCAGAGAGGGACGTCATCAAACGGCGCTGGAGCTCAGAGAGGAAGCTAGATAGAGTCTCATCCTAAATCTTCTGCACTGGGACTGTGCAGTGAAGGTAAGTAGGATTCCTGCATCCTTCGCAACCCTGCTCTTCTTGGGTCCCCAGTCTATGGACCGAGGAGGCCAGTTGCTGACCGTGCTTGCAATTAACTAGGTCTTCACAGACATGTGTGGAGCAGGCATTTTCTACTTGTGACTAAACCACCTCGTTACCAAGCAAAGCGGGATTCAGTGGCGTTCCCCAAAAAAATAAATAAATAAATAAATAAAATAGCCCTGTAACCCAGAGAAGCAAGTTTGCGGCCCTGAACTTCTCTGACTCCAGTGGTGTCTGGGGTGACCTGAAAGGGTGTTTGTGGCCAACTGTGGCTTCCAGGCTAAGACCAGGATTGGAAACCTAGCGCTGGATCAGGCGTGACTCGGGCCAGCCTGGGCTCCCAGTCTTTGTTCCCGTTTCCAGCTGGCAGCGATCACCAAGCCCTCCACAGCTGGCCCTGGATGATAATGTCCCTTGCTTCTCAAGGAGCATGTCATCCTTGTTCTTGAGGACCACGAAGAGCCTGGTGAGAGAGCTGGGCAGGAAGGGCGAGTTGGTACCGGTGGACAGCCTGAGCAGCTCACCTCGCCTGCGCCCCTTCTGCCTGGTGAGGAAGAAACACAGGCGATACCTCTGGCCTTGGGACACCCCGCTCATCCCCACAGACTTCTCTCTCCTGGACCTGCTGGAGCCTGGCCTTCCCGAGCCAGGTACATTCCATGAGGAGGCTGCTGTGGAACGGAGTGGGACTCCCAAACGGACAGGCTTCTATCTGGGTGCCCCCGGGGAGACTCCGAGGTGAGGGCCGGCAGAAGCATGGCCCTCAGAGCCATGTTACCGCGGCCGTATGTACGACAGAAAGGGCTCGTTTCTTCCTGTGTTCCTCCCTGCAAAATAAGTCACAATAATCATTATTTGTTTTTATTAATGAGGAGATTGAGGCTCTGAGAGCTCAGTGGCTTCTGCACAGCTCACACAATGCATCAGTGCTAGCAGCCATTCTGAGACCTGACCGCACCCTGGGACCACCGGGCAACCTGTCTCCTTCCCATGCCAGGCACCTGCAGCTTGGACCTCTTTCTCCACAGAGGTGAACCACAGCAGTCCCATCAATATCTGGGACAAGGTGGCAGGAGAGCTAACAGCGGCTGTGAGCCTGAGTGCTGGCCTGCAGGGCCAGGTGACTGGAGGCAGCAACTCCGCCTGCATCTCTGCCTTGGCTGTGCAGACACTCTGGGTTTCCCCTTGCACCTGGGAGATGCTGCTTGAGAGGAGGTAAAAGCCAGGGAAGCTTCGCTGGCAGCTGGGCGCCCAGCTGGGGTCAGTGGGCACAGATCCTCAGGGTCGAGGGGAGAGCCCAGGGGGCTTGTGGCCTTACAAGCCATGAGATAGTAGGCTAGGATGCTCAGGGCCCCTGTGGAGGCACAGAGGTTTCAGGCCAGATATATCCAGGGCCAGGAAAGGAAACAGAACAGTTCTGGGAGGCAGGCAACAGGGCATGGTAGGAACAAGGGTAAACTAGAGACCAGCATGAGGCTGGTGGCTACTCAGCTGCTGCCAGGTTTCCCAGGTTAGCAATCTGGGTCTTTTTCATCAGTTTTAGTATTATTTCCCAAATCTGAAATATAATTCTGATCTGTTTGTTTATCTGTAACCTTGAAGAGGACTGTTCCAGGCTGTCCTCAGTTTCCCCCCTTTCAGGCCACCCCCACTCACGTTAAACATGCAGTGTGTTCACACCCACCCCCCACCCCACCCCACCGCCCACACAAGGCAAGCACATTGTTTCCACAAGTCACTGAGATCAGCCTGGAAAGGCCTTGGAACTCCCCGGCTGGACAGATAGCACTCCCCCCCTCCTCCCCACCAGCTCTGATCTTCTCTGCTTCCCACACCCTCCAGGAAACTGAGGTCCCCTAGACCCTCCTTCCTCCAGGAGCTCCAGAGCCGGAAGGAGAGGGAGAGCCTCTACGTGGTGACTGAGGCTGTGGAGACCCTGCAGGATGCTGTCCTTCAGAGCCAGGGCCAAACGCTGGGAGCTGGGCAGCTGTCCCTCCTACAGCTGGGCCATGTCCAGGTGTGCAGTGCGCTGGAGTGGGTACACGGCGGGCGGGCAGGGCAGGGCGTTTGAAACCCTGAATATCAACTCATCAGCCTCCAGAAGGCGATCTGGCCTCCTCATCCTTGGAGGATGACATGACGTCAGCTCTGCCTGGACATGCTTGTTGTTGTTGTTGAGTTTTCTCATGTCCCTCCCCTACTTCCCCTTCTTTCCCTCCGCTTTGAACCAGGTCTTAGTATATTACCCAATCCGGACTCTGCTTTCCAGGTATCATGTTTCCAGCCACCAGGTGGCAGCATGGGCCTCTCTCTCCTCAACTTATCATGGGTCTGAAATAGCACATAAATCACTGGTTTAGTTTGAGTTTGCCCAGACAACCCCTGCATGTGTTCTTCACAGCAGGAGGATTTACACACCTGGTTCCAAACATCTATTCTCAGGTCATTTATTTCAGCCTCCCCTTGTAAGACCCTCAGAATGAGGAGTCTCCCAGTTTCGGTCGGTACCCCCAAGAACTCAATGTCCAGTCCAGTTGCTGCAACACGCAAGAGGCTTTAATGAACAGGAAACGTTTGCGCAGACGGGCTCCTTCAGCGCGCAGGCCAGAGAGAAGCGTCATTCTCCAGGCACAGGCGTTTTTAAAGGCAAAACCCACAAGCTTAGGGACGGGGTGTGACCCTCTGTCCGTTGAGTACGTGACCCTTTGAGCCAGGGATGGCCTGGCTGTTAGGGTCAGCAGACCTTAGGGCCTCGAGGTGTGCTAATTAATCTTGTCTGGGTTATCTCTGGAAATGTTTTTTCGTGCAAGCTTATCTTGCGTTCTTGCCTCACATAAGGACCCCACCTTCACCTACCTGTTGCCAACCCTCCAGGAATCTTGTCATCAAGACCCTTCCTTCTAGAGGCCCTAGGGTTGGTTTCCTTTCTCTCTGACTCCCTCACAGGTCCAGATTCAGAGCCACAGGGACACAGAGAAAGTGCTGAGCATCCCGCAGGGCAGTATATTGGCCTACAGGGTTCTGCAGCTGGTGGTGGAGGAAGATGGCTGGGGTAAGCCTATTCATCCCTGCTCCCTGCCCCACCTACCCCCTACCAGCAGTTAATAATCAGAGAGCAGTGAAGAGCTGAAGAAGGAGGGAACTCCCAGGGCTCCCCACTGGCTGAGCAGATGTTGAGGAGGCTTAAACCCAGTCTGTCCCTGCTTGCCTTGGGGTGGGGCTGGATTCTACCAGCAGGGAGGGCCTTTGTTACCTAATTGGAACGAAGTCTCTCTGCATATCTGTAGTTAGAAACTGAGCGGAGAGACAGAGCGGGCCTTCCGTGTCCTAAACCAGGGACACATCTGGAAAATGCCTAGATGGTACCAGCTCTGGGCACTCACCCCAGCCCCTGGATCTCTAGGTTTTGCCTTGGAGTGAGAGAATGTGGCAACTACAGACAGCTTCTTTGTCCCCATGGGAGGGAAAAGCATGGATTCAGGAGACAACCCCTGTCCCCTCGTGGCCCTGTCCATGCCCCTGTCCAGCCCTCTCTTGCAGAGCTTGGGTTACTTTAGGATGCCACGTGGGAAACCACGCAGAGTCCCACCCCCGCTGGCCAGCATGGGAGATGCAGCCTCCCTGACCTTTGGGTTTATTTCTCCCTGTTCCGCCACAAGTAGCTGTCCTCTACTTCCCCGAAAGAAAGCTCTACAGGGACACCAGGAGAGGTGAGTGGCTGCCCTGACATGATTCTGTGGTTCCTTTCCAACGCTATGTGGTAAACCTAGGTCACTGTGGGTAAGGTAAAGTGAGCCAGGAATGCCCAGAGGAGTGAGTGCCAGCATGGCCCCACTGGAGACTCCTTATAGTTCCAACTCTGGTTCCTTCTGTACACGGAAGGTGACACTTGTTTTTCTCCAGCCTAGAGGATCAGAGCTAGAGCCTCAGAGGCTGTGCCTGAGCTAACTTGGGTTCCCACAATCAGAGAGGTCTAGCAGCCCTGGAAGAGGAAGCCGGGTCAGACTTTCGTTCTCCTTCTGGGAAGAAAAGAATAGGAAGGCAGGAAAGAGGTGACAGGCAGGAAAGCTGACTGCCTGATGTGGACAAACTGCCCTGCAAATGTCTGGCAAAGGCACAGAGGAGGGAATGTGGTGAATACATATGGTGCATATGTACTTTTATATACAGGGCCAGTCCTGGGACATTGGATCTCCTCGGGGGGCTGGGCGCACAAAGGTCCCCTGAACAGGTGACTGGGCACAAGACTAATGGCTGCCCCCTGATCGATACAGGCATAGCCTTCAGCCAGGACTCAGGGGAGGTGTCTAACCTCCAGAGCTTGCAGGAGCAAGCAGATGGCCAGTTGCAGGACCTGGCCACGCTGTCCTCAGAGCTACGGGGAACATTGCTGGGTGCCCTCCAGGAGCTGCTACAAGACCGCCAGGCACTCCAGGAGCTAGAGGACACGGTAATGGGCCCACTAGCCAGCCTTGGCAAAGGCCTCAGGTCCTGGCAGACAGACAGGGGAAGGGTAGAGTTGCACAGCATGGTGGATGACAGGGCATCCCTGGGGCTCTCACACACACTGCAGGCCATGCATGGGGTAGCACGTCTTAGTGCCAGCTACTTTGTCAGGCACTTAAGCCCAGACCCCCACCGGCCCACCCACTTAGGGGAAACCTGATTCAGCCAAGTTCAAGCCCAAACGGAGCTCTTTGCATAGTCATGGGTACACAGAGGCAGGAGCAACTCCCTGAATGGACCGGGACACTGACTGCATGAACAGGGTCCTGTCCGTACACCCTTTGCCTGCAGCTGGAACAGGCTCTGGACACTGGGTTGCTGGCACAGCTGAAGGGTTCTGGGGGCTTCGTCTTAAGCATCCTCCAAGACTCCACAGGCAACTTGTCACGCTCGAGAGGCAAGGCTATCCTCTACATTCTCGGAGCCCTAGCAGGTAAGAGGGTCAGGGATTGAAAGCAGACCCTAAAGGGTGAACAAGGGTGAGGATCACATGCTGAAGCTTCCTGAACTGAGTATCTGGCCCTAGGTCTGCACTAACAATATGAGTAGCCTTGCCAAAGCCTTGCCAGACAGATCCTGGTTAATCAGTATTGCTCAAGGTCACTCAACTGGATATGTGAAAACCCTGTGTGTCTGATGTTCATTGCCAGCCCTAGATGGAATGTTCCAGGGTGGACAGTTTTTCCCTTTTAGAATCTCTTAGGAAAGATGACTCCAGCGGTGCCAGAACCAGCACAGGTTCTCCTTACCTAAGGACTCCTGGGATGCAGCCCTTCCCCCACCAGAGCCACAGAGGAGACATAATACATACAGAGCACCCGGGACCCCTTCTACTTGGTAACCCGTCTCTATTTCTCACAGCACTGAGTGAACCCCAGCTTTGCCTGCTGGCCCAGTCCATAGAGAGACGAATCCTATCTGAGGAGCTGGAACTGGTGAGAGCCTCAAAGAAGGGGGTGCTGGGATTCAGGGAGGTGCAGGGAAGGATGCGGGGAGCAAGTGGAGATGCTCTGTAGGACCTGCCCGCAGCAGCTCATATGTGTAGCCCCTGCTCAGGGGCAGCAGGCTCTGCGTCTGGCCTTGCAGCCTACAGCTCTTGCTGAGCAGCCTCTTGCGGGGGGATGCCACTTTGTCCTGCATCCTGAAATGCTCTATACATCCATATCATTCATGTTCTCTGCCAAGCCTACGAATGTGAAGGGATGCCCCACCCGACTGTCTCCTGCTGCTGCTGATGGGTGGCCTTGCAAGCACTTCCTGGTGGAGGCAGCTCTTGACACCCATAAGCTGCTAGAGGGTAGGCAGCCTGGCAGAGTGCTAGAGATGCTTTCCTGTAGCCAGCAGCATCTGAGGGGAGTTGTTCACGGGAGTAGAAACAAGGTAGCACAATCTCCACTAGGGATGCTTTACTGTAGCCAGCAGCATCTGAGGGGAGTTGTTCACGGGAGTAGAAACAAGGTAGCACAATCTCCAGGGCCAAACACAAACCTGCATAAATCCCAAAGGCACAGCTTGGCTGTGGACAGGGAGCAGAGGCCCCTGGCTGCTGCTTGAGGGTGGATGCCACCACCCAAGGCCTAGGCAGTCCCTGTGTTCCTTCTGAGTGATTTGTTGCAGGTGGCGAGCATCCTGGAACACTACTGTAATCAGATGGAGGAAACCACCTGTCCTCTCCCAACAGGAGTCCTCTGTGCTCTCAAGAGTGAGGATGTAGTCATCCTCCTAAGCTTGGTGCAGAGCTGTGGGCTGGAACTGGAGCAGTCCAGTTGCCAGCTCGCCTGGGACCCCACAGTGGTGCCTCAGCTCTCTGCTCTCTATGGGAGCCTCTCAGGGCTGCAGCTACTGGCTGACGCAAGCCCCGGGCTTTCTAGGACAGTGCCTGAAGAGGGAGCACTCATCTGTCCCTAGGGTCACATCCAACCTGACTGCTGGCAGCCTAAGATGTCACTGGCCCTCTGGTAGCCACAGCTGATGGTAGGCTCCCACCAGGACAGGCCCCACTCAGGACTGGTTTCAGGGACGCAAAACACTCATTCAGAACAAGGTCACACACCCTGGCCCGCCCAGGATTCTTTCTGAGAGCAATCCAGGCTGGCTGGAGAACAGTTTGGCTCTGTAGCTAGCTCAGCCACAACTCCCAGCTGTGTAGCTTACACAGCACAGTCCCCTCTGTGCCGCGGTGGAACGAGCCATCGTAAAAGGATATTTGTGCTAATAATTCCCAGAGCACAACGTGGCAGTGAGAACTTTCAAAGTTGTACACGACATGCTTACATGCGTGCTGTTATTGGGCTCTAGCAATGGCTCAGAGGTTACTAGCACTGGCTGCTCTTCCAGGGGTCCTGAGTTTAAGTTCCAGCAACCATCCAGTGGCTCACAACCACCTATGAGATCTGATGCCCTCTCCTGGCTGCAGGCATGCATTGCAGGCATGCAAGATGACAGCACTGCATATACAATGAATAAAATAAACCAAAAAAAGAAAAAAGAGTACTGTTATTGTATGATGGCGAATGAGCTACACGGGGAAGACACTCTCCAGAGTAACAAAGGACTTATGTTGTCCTGCCTTGCATTTCCTGCAACTTTCCTATGGCCTCCCCAACCCCCAACTGCCACCATCGTAACAAATTGGTAACACTGCTGAGGTTCCAGCCAACTGTACATGTTGGTGATGGGGGATGCACTTTTATATATAGGTTTCTTTTAAAGGTTGATGAATAAAACCGATTGGCCGCTAGACAGACAGGAAGTATAGTCAAGTTGGGAAGAGGAAGGCAGAGAGAAGCCGCTAGGGAGATGCCATGTAGCTGCTGAAGGCTTAACAGGTCCAGGCATTCTCTGGTAAGCCAAGATCACATAGAAATACTTAGAAACGGGTTAATAACTGAGCTAGCCAATAAGAAGCCTGAGCTATCAGCAGAACAGTTTGATTAATACAAGCTTCAGTGTTTATTTGGGGCTAATAGGCAGCAAGACCAGGTGGGAAAAAACTCCGTCTACACATCGGAACATGGGATGGTCAGGAGAGGAGTCTTCAACAACAAAATAGAAACTAAACCTTTCCCTGATAAAAGAGAGGGAGGGAGGGAGGGGACAGACTGACAGACAGACTCTTACAGACTTGGAGGATGGTACCCAGGGAAGTCACAGCTCAGAGGAGCAACGGGCTGGAACCTGTATTGTGGTACCTCCTCTGCCTGGACAATCCAGCTAGCCCTCTCATGTCCCTGTGGGTGGTCCCTGCTGACTATAATAATTTCCCCAACCTATTTTCCACTTGCACTTACCCTTCCAGGCACTCAGGCCAAAGGTCCAGTTTATTCTTCACTTTGTCCCTCACTGCCAGTTTACTGGGGAAGCCTATTGCCCTCACCTTCAAATCACATCCTGTACTTGGTCACTTTTCACACTTATTGCCAAACTAAGTTTTTGCCTCGATGATATCAACTACTTAACCGGCCCCTGCCATGCTCCCTCGGTGCCCTCTTGGGACTGCTGCGATGAGATGCCCTCTTGCTCAAGGCTGCCAAGTGAGCCTGCTCATCTACCCAGGGCAGGTGCTGGCAGATTCCGTTCAGGGCCAGTACATACTTTGGCCTCTAATGGCCATATGATCTTTGTCACAATTCTGCTCCTACAATGAACAAATAGCCATAAATAATATACATACATACATACATACATATATACAAATGAGACTGTTCAATAAAATTTTATTTATGAACACTGGAGTTTAAGTTTCATATACTTTTCCCATGCTACAAAATATTTTTTCAACTCTTAAAAAAACATTTGTTATCCTTATTCCCCCAACCTTTTAAAAATCATTCTTAATTCACAGGCTGTGTAGGTACAGAAGGTGGAGCCTGGGTACTGACCCCTAGGCTAAAGATTTTTTCCCCCACTGAATCTTCAACATGCAGAGTGTGAACCGCACTGCCTGAAAAGGCCCCAGCAGCATTACACCTTTCCATTTACTTGTACTCATTCACTCCATCCAAGCACTCACTTGGCAGCTATTGTGTAAGATCCCTCCTTGGGACACTGGAGGAATAGCACGGCTCTTCTCTCAAGCCTCGGTCCGCACAGCATCTCAACACTGTAATTCCTCAAGAGTTTCAGAAAAGATCCGTAAGTGTGAAGTATCAGGCTGTTTGTGAGACAGCTGTAGTCAGTGCTTAAGCTGACTGAAACAAATTGCTACCAACTAGGTGGCTTAGAACAGAAATGTATTTTCCCACCGTCATAGAAGGTGAAGTTGAAGATGAGAATAGCTCAGGGCCAGGCCCTCCTGGAGACCCTGATGGGAAATGTCCCATGACCCTCTTCCAAGTTCTGTGGCTCAGGAAATTTCAAGACATGTTCGCCTTTGCCTCTACCCTCCCATGACCTCCATCCAGGGTGTTTGGGGTCCCCTTCTTTTCTCTTACAAGGACTTGTCAGTGGGGTTAGGGCCCACCCTAATGCAGGATGATGTCATCCACAGGTCCATACATTCTCCTGAAAATGCTCTTCTTCCAAACGAGGCTTTATGCACGGGCTGTAGACAAACATGATGCAGAGTGCACTATTTCGCCCATTATAATACTGTTAGAGTACTCCTAGAAAACAGCCAGGATCATCCAAATGATGTTCAGGAGGAAGTAATCGAAGCTGACTTGTAAAAGATGAAAGCTGGTGTGTTGGTCAGACAGCCATGAGGGAGAAAAGGGAAATCAGAATCAGGTTGTAGCCAGACCAGAGTCACGAAGCAACACCCAATGGACAACTGCAAACCACAAGTATTCAGGCTTGGCTGGAAAGGGGTGTGAAGTGAAGCAGGGGTGAGCAGGAAGCCAGGGAGGTCCACGGCAGCTTTACCCAGTGCTGTGCGCTCCCACAGAGGTCTGAGGGAAGCCTGTGGTCCATTCCTTCCACGGCTAACCACCTTAACAGGCCACTGTGTCATTTAACCCCAGATAAGACTGAGCTAGACACCTGCAAGCTCCTTCTCTCAAGCACAACAGATTCCACGACTCAGGTTTTACCATTTAAACCGATGGGCTTCGCCTTCCTCTAGGAGGCGCTCCTACTGCTCAGTGTCCTCCACTGTCAAGGGCTCATCTCGCTCCTCAGAAACCCTGTGCTTCCTGTTGCTGCCCTTTCACTCCTGAAACTGAGAAAATGTGGTTCTTTCTACGACTACACTCACCCAGGATTAAATCAAAAGAGAATTCAAGTTAATGGCACAATCACTGGTCATCTTATATACAACAGTTATAAGCAGTTACACTTATGTACATAGACAAAAGTAAAGAAAAATACAACTGAAAAAGACAGAGCTATCCCCTAAGAGAAAGAAAAGTCATGTAATGTGTATATGCATTCCACAGAAATATATACAGGGGAAACTTCCAGAAACCTCAGTAAACAAGCCACACTTAGAAAAAGGAAAGCTGATTTTTATTTTATCAACAGCCATTCTTAAACAGGAACATGCATACGTAATATTCTACGCACACATCACAGTTTTTAACATTAGTTAATAAAGGTTAAACACACAACATACATCCTTACAAAAAAAAAAGTCAAAATGCAAACTTAAAACTTTAAACAAAAGTCTTACTAATTTAAAAAAGGTTTGTGTTGGGTACCATTTGTACAACACAGTTAATTTAAACATTTTCATTTTGGCTAGACATGAAAAAGCGGCAGTAGAAAATAAATTCATGAGGGTTTTAAATAGCAGAATAGGCAGTTTTGCCATGCAGGAGAAGCAATATTAAATATTAGTTTTCAAAAAAAATCCACATTTAAAAATATTTAGTTCAAGTCACAGAACTTTTCTCAGTAGAGACCTCGATGCAATGCATAATTAGCTGCCTTAGATGGCCTGTTGTGAAAGGACAAAATCCCTTTCAAAGTATAACTTTACTGATTTTGGCACAGAAAAGAAGTCTTGAGAACAAGAACATGATTAAAAAAGTGGGAAGGGGCAGAGGAAAGAAACCGAAGCAAGGCTAAGGAGGGTTAAAGGTGATCATGAAGGCCTGCATCCCAGTCACTGGAGAAGCCTGTGCTGCACCTGCAGCCGGGCCTGCTCCACCCTCAGCTCTCACTGCAGCATGGACCTAATTTGCTTGGAGGTAGTCTCATCATTCAAATGTTTTGTTGTGTACCTGTAAGAAACGGTGGCCAGTGTCAGGAAAGGAACGTCTGTATGGGCTCCGTAGTAGTCAGTCAATCTCACACAAATCACACCTTAGTGTGGCAGCTTTAACCCTCATGAGGATCACTCTGCTTCACTCCCCATCCCATAGAGCCGCCCGTTGCTGGTCACCTACTTTAAGCACCTTGCTGAAATGACTGGCCACACTCTGAAATAATCATGGACAGGAAAATTACACATCTACACCAGGTGCTGGCAATTATGGCCCCTGAATCAAACACTGCCTACCATCTATTTTTGCTTTACATGGAAGTTAAATACACATACTTTAGATTTTGGGTCTCTGAGTAATAAAAAATTAATGAATAAAACAATAGGCAATATTTAGTATTAGCATATGAAATTCAAATTTTAATGTTTATACATAAAAGTTGTATTGAAGGAGGGAATGGGTATAACCAGATGTATAAAATATATAAAATTGTCAAAGAATAGAAACATAAGTTGCACTGAAAAATACAAGTTGGTTAACGTAGGTACCTTCTCGGCACAGTGGAAGACCTAAACAGCTATGATACAAGCGAGCCTTCTCAGTCCGTGCATTTACTCACACCTGGGCCCCTTACAGTTTCACACTGCACTGTGCAAACACAGTGCCCTGCCAGGAGAGGCGGGCGGATGTGTGAGTTCCAGGCCAGCCTGGCCTACAGAGAGAGTTCCAGGACACCAGGGGTACAAGACCAGGGGTCTTGAAAAA